CCCTGCAGAGCAGCAGATGGACAGGAAGCTGGGACTCAGTGGGGGGCTGGGTGTCTCGCTTTGGAAGGCATGGGGGGCTGTGCTTTGGCCCCAGGGAGGGGATTCATGCCAGGCTTCCCTCCTTCCCTCCCCCCACCCCCCCGCAAACCAGCTGTGAGCTGGCCACACTCTGCTCCCTTGTGCTTCCTCCTTGCTGAGCCTTAGGCAGCAGCACTGTCTGTATCTCTGCCCTGCCCCCATTCCGACTGTGCCTTTGGGATCGTTCTGGGGGGGGCCCTGCTCCCCAGAGACCTCTCTGTGCTGCTCTGACATACCCCCTCCGTTTCTTCCCTGGGCGCTGACCTTGCCACCCCACCTGGCTCGTCAGGCCTTCGTAACACCAGTGTGGGAGGCTGGCTGCTGGGGCTCTGTGGGTGTCTCCCTTGGCATGTCGCTCGCTGCAGCAGCTCCTGGCCTTGGTGTCCCTGCAGGTGCTGGAGGAGAGGGATGCCCTGAGGTGTGAGCGCAAGCCGGCTGTGCTGGTGAAGATTGCCCCTGACCTGACTGCCCAGGACAAGCAGGACATAGCCAGTGTGGTGACCGAGGTGGGGGGCAGGTAGCTCTGGGGAGGCTCCCGCTGCTCCAGTGTAGGCCTCGCAGTACCCAAGGAAGGAGGGCAGACTCGGCAGCTCAGGGAAGAGGGGCGGGGAGGGAAGGGAAGGGAGGAGGTGGTAGCACCGGGGCGGCCCTAGGGGAAAGGGGCTGGGACAGGAGAAGTGCAGGCTGAACAAGGGGAGGGCGTCCCAGCCAGGAGCTCCAGCTTGGGGCACGGAGCAGGCTGCAGTCCAATGGCTTTGGCCAGAGTGCGGGAGATCAATGGGGCCGTGTGTCAATCCTGACCGGCTGCACTCAGGGGCAGGCTCTCCCCAGCCCCCGCCAGGAGCCGCTGGCTCTGGCTGCCGGGGGTGGCTGCTGTGCCAGGCTGCTTGGGCAGCCGGTCGCCAGCAGGCTTCTGCTGCTCACTCCCCCCTAGCTCTGGTGCCCCCAGGAGGGCGGCAGGGGGCCTGGAGCTCTGCTGCCATCATGTGCCCTTGGTATCTCAGCTAGGTGTGGATGGGCTGGTCGTCACCAACACCACCACCAGCCGTCCCAGCAGCCTGCGGGGCACCCTGCGCGCAGAGCCTGGCGGCCTCAGCGGGCGGCCCCTGCGAGCACTCTCCACGCAGACGGTCAGCGAGATGTACGCCCTCACCCAAGGTAACACGGTGCTGCCGCCCCACCGGGCAGAGCCGTGCCAGGCACTCCGCCCACCCCAGGCCAGGGCTCCATCCGCCTCTAATGCCCCTCCTTGCTCCTAGGGAAGGTGCCCATCATTGGCGTGGGCGGGGTGAGCAGCGGGCAGGACGCACTGGAGAAGATCCGGGCCGGGGCCTCCCTGGTGCAGATGTACACGGCGCTCACCTACCAGGGGCCCCCTGTGGTGGGGGTGGTGAAACGGGAACTGGAGGTGCTGCTGAGGTGAGTGAGGGGCTGGGCTGCTCCCCAGCAGTGCTCTGTGTACGAGGAGGTGGGCCTCCGTCACACCCATGGCTCCGTGCCTCAGTGTCCCCAGTGGTGTGGGAGCTGCTGGCTCTGAAAGGCCTCAGGCCGACAAGCACCAGGCCTGGTGAGGGCTCTCGCTGGCTGCTGCCATGGGCAACGTCCTGCAGCCCCATGCTTTGGGATGCTGCGAGCTGTGACCCACGGGTCCAGCAGGCTTGTGCTGCAAGCGGAGCTATTCTCTGTGCTGGGCTTCGCGCAGGACAGAGACCAGAGCATAGGGAGGACCTGTTCCTGGACTGGGGGTGGGAGCGCTGGGCTGGGCCTTGTGGAAGTGCTCACCGCTGTTTTGTTCTCGGCTTAGGGAGCAGGGGTTTCAGAGTGTCACAGAAGCTGTTGGAGCAGATCATCGGTGCTGACGGGCGTGTGGTGCTGTGAATGGGGCTCTCTGCGCTGCCCCCGGATGCCCCAGCCTGGAGAAGCTGCAGCACCCTGGGAACAGGGCTTGGTACCTCTTGGGTGTGAGCCAATCTGGTCTTTGGACTGAGTCATCCCCTGTGTAGAATGTGGGTGGGTGGGGGGGTCTCGTGATGTACAGAGACCCCTGAGTGGGCTAACGGGGTCATGGTGAGCTTGTGGTCTCTGTCCAGTGGTGCCCTGGGCATGTGGGGAAGGCTCCCAGCTGCCCTGCATGGAGGGACCTGAGCAAGGCCTGGGCAGGGGAGCTCTTCCCAGATGTCTGCTGAGCAGTGCTGGCAGTGTGGGGCCGGGCTGATCCTTGCCAATCCTGAGCAGCTGCAGGTCGGGGTCCCTGCCCTATGAAGCTGTGATGCATGCTCTGGTGGCACGAGGCCTGGCCCGCTGCTGGGGTGGTGCCAAGTCCCTGCCCCCCTTCTCCAGCTGGGAAGTCTTCGCGATTTGCCTGCGAAGGGGCTCGCCTCCCCCCACCCCCCATGTGGGTGCACAAGGCCTTGAGCCTGACGCGGCCCTGGCCATGCTCTTCATGGAGCCAGCTGGGCCAGGCAGTGCCCTGAGCAGCGTCACTGGCAGCCCTGCTGTGCGCCGCTGCCCCAGCCCAGCCCTCGCTGGCTTGCAGGGCCCTGCCTGAGCGCTGGCTTGGCCTTCACCTCCCTGGCCATAGCTGTCTGTGCTGCTCCCCGGGACTGGCTGGCTGGGGGCTGTATCTGAAGGAGACTGGGGTCGGGGGACCATTCCTGGGCCTGGCTTCTCACTGGATTGTCAGTAAACTTGCTGCTCGTTCAGTCTCGTGTCCCTTTTGGTTTTTTTGTTTTTTTGGGGCGGGGGGGAGGCTTGTGGCTCTCGTCCCCAGCAGCCCGGGGGCTGGAGCAGTGGTTCAGGATTCCCTTAGCCCTACAGCCCCCCCAGCCCTGGGCGCTCTCGGGGAGGGGCAGGGTGCTGGCAGCTCGTGGGGCTGTGCAGCTGTCACTGGAGCAGGGTAGCTTGGCTGAGGAGCTGCCTGGGGTGTAGGGGGAGGGGCTGGGCTGGGCTCTGCTCAGCTGTTGCCAGCTGCAGGCAGGGGGCCTAGTGCCCTGCTCTTGTCTGATTTTTAGGAGGTTAATATTATTAATTTGGCTAATACTGGTTATAGGTTTGCCAGTTAATCTGATTAGAAGATAATAGGGTTTTTGTTTCAAAATCAGTGCAAAGGACCCTCGGGGGTATGACAAGATACTTATACTGAGACAAATATAGTCTTCAAGACTTTTATTGAGATAAATGGAATTATAATGGTAATTAAATGGTTTAATAGTACTGCATTTGTAATTCTAATTATTTAAGATACATATGGTATTATATACTCTCAAGCTTTTGATTAATATACTTACACCTTTTCTTAATAACCTGGTGGTAAGAGACTGACGGGCTAAGAGAGTTTAGGTTCAGGTTTCTTAATTCTTGAATGGGAGGTGCAGAGCTTAGCTTCAGTAACTCTTAGCTCTAGCTTCTTCTAACTTAGAGTTTTACTGAACTAACGGACTTCAAACTTGACATTAAGAACTTACAGACGAATAGACTGACTTAAAACAAAGAACGAAGAAGCTTGGAGCTTAGAAAATTTAGAAAGCAAGCTCAGAAAAAAACGTAGAAGCTTAGAAGCCTAGACACTTCCTTGGCATGGTGGGTTTACCCCCTTTTATAGGGCATGGGTGCTTGAGCCTTTCTTCTCTCTGTAAACCTAGTTTTCTTACCCAGCGAAGTGTTGGGGTAAATTACTCCACAGGCTGGTATGTTTGTACATATTAATGACATTAGATTATTTTTACATTTGTTATTTTTGCCCTCCCAGTTATTTTGGTTCTTTCCTTGCAGTGCATCTGTTTAGCCCCTCTGCCAACCTCCTTCAACACATTCTTTATCTGTCTGTTAAAGGTTGCAGCCATGTATGGACCTTGTGCTTTAACTTATTACTATTTATCTAGGCGAAAGGTCCCAGATGTATGTATGCTAACTTCGTCTTAGCTCAACATGCAGGCTGTGGCCTGTACGTCCCTTGCGTTACAGCCAAACTACTTTAATAAATGCCTATTATAGAAAACAAATCATTAAAACCCTAAGAAAAGAGAGAGAGGTAAGCAAGCAGGCTGCACTGCCTGAGGCAGCAGGGAAGAGCTCAGGTTGCTGCTGGCAGATGAGGATCCCTGGTGGCAGCTCCAGCCCTTGGGCTTCTCACCCCAGCTCTGGTCCTGTCTCCTGCAGCTCTCGATGTGCTGGGTAGGGATTGCTCCTGCGGGCCTGACCCCTGCTGGTGGGAGGGGTGGGCTCTGCTCTGGGTCAGGCATGGGGGCGAGGGGGAGGCTTTGGCTGTCCCAGCAGGAGGGGAGGGGGCTCTGTCCTGGAGCATGTTCAGAGTGTCATGTAGGGGTGATGTCTCAGGGCCTGTGTAGAATCTGTCAAGTTCTGGTAGCACTCAGCCCTGCCCAGAGTAGGGGCAGGATGGCACCGGCAGTGGCTGGGATGGTGGGTGGCTTAGCTCGGGTAGGCCCTCCCAGTTGGCACTGGTCAGCCTCCTGGCTCTTCTGTCCCTGGGGGGCTCTGCTGTGGTGTCAATGGGAGTTTTAATAGTGGGTGCCATGCTGGCATGAGTTGGGTCCCCACTCCCCTTGCTGTTATCTGCCCCTGGGCACGTCTCCATGAGCTAAAGGCAGCCTACTGCGTGCTGCTGTCAGCACTGGCCCCAGCCCACCCAGCTGCGCTGGCATGGGGCATTGCCCCCTCTGCCACGCACTGGTGTGGGGTGTGGGCTGCACCGCACAGACAGGCCTCTTTCAGGGACCAGCCCCACTGCTGCTGGAGGCTGACAGACCAACAGGCCAGGTCACAGACCATAGACAGGGGACTGTGTCTATCAGTCCAGGGTCAGCACCCCCATGTCCAGCTGTCTGGTGCCCCATGTCCATCCCTGCCTGGGCTCTGATCAGGGCACGCTGCTTCCCCCCTCCCCCCGCCCCCGGGTCTGGCCATGATGTGACCCCTGCGAGGGAGTAAGGGGCTCGTTCCGGGCCCTGTTGTGCTGGAGGAGAGGGGTGTCACTGCCGCCCCTGCTGTTGCTGGGGCTCTGCAGGGAGCCTGGCCTGGTACAGCGCCTTGCTGGGGTCAGGTCTGGTGCCAGCTGCTGTGGGGGAGGGGTCGGGAAAGCCCTGGTGTGGTCCCAGGGGAGCACCTGGCACCTGGAGGGGGTGTCTGATCCCATCAGCTGCCCATTCCTCAGTCCAGGAGTAGGGTTACGGCCTGGCTCATTCTCACCAGTTGAAAGTAATGCTGGATGTTCTCTCCCACAAACACCTCTAATCCTGTCTTAAATCCTCCCGAGCCCGGGGCCCAGATTTCTTGTGGCAGTGAGTTCCACAGGCTAACTGTCACTGGGTAAAAGCATATTTCCTGTCAGTGTTTTGTTGCCTTTTGATTTCATGGCCTGTACCCTGGTTCTTATGTTCTGCAATTTACCAGTGTGGCCCCGCTGGTGAATGTGGGTCCCTCTCTCCTGCCGCCCTGCACAAAACGATCCCAATTGTCTCCTTTGGGAGACACCCCACTGAAGGGCACCATAGGGAGCCTGCTCCAGTGATATCAGTACGGGCATCGCTGACCCCGCTCCTGGCTTGGACGCTGCAGCCTGTTGGGCAACCCCAGGATGTAGCATCTGCTTGAGTTGCAAACAGGCTGTGTGGAAACTGCCAGGTGTGTTCATGGATTCCAAGCTGGAAGGGCCCATTGTAATCGTTGAGTCTGACCCCCTGCAGCAGGGCTAGAACGATGTCCCAGCTTCCTTTAAAAATGGCCAGTGCTGGAGAACTGGCCCAGGGGTTCATTGCTCTCCCGGGTAGGACTGTGCGCCGCGGTTCCAGTCCGAATGTGTCTAGCGTCAGCTGCCAGCCAAGAGCATCAGTAGGGGCCCTGCCGTGCCCGTGGGCCGGGCACGCTAGTGGAACTCAGGCAGGGTGCATGCAGCAGGCAGTGCCAGAGAGCTGGCCCTGGTCCGTGCTCACCAGCTAGGCAGAGTCCTCCCGTGCCAGTATCTGGGGAGACACGGCCGCAGTGCCCGGGGGGTGCCGGGGGTGCTGTGCTGCAGAGGGGATGCTGGGCCCAGGGTGGTCCTAGGGGCACAGCTGGGAGTGACTCGGGGCCTGTGGGCTCAGGCTGGGCACAGGCCGGGGGACATGCAGGTGTGCACAGCTGAGAGGCTGAGTCTGCAGAACCCTCCTAAACGCTGCCAGATTCTGCCAAGCTGGGGCTCCCTCTGCTTTGGAGTATGGCCCAAGCCTCCATCAGGCCCTGCCTGCTCCCCCAGGCCCGGTGCAGGAGGCCAGCCCTGGCAGGGATCTCCACTCGTCACCGGGGCCAGGGACAGGCTTTGGGGAAAACAGTGACGCTCTGAGGCAGTTCTTGTGCCCAGCAGCCACCCACTGTCCCCAGCCAAGCTGCCAGCGACGGCGCCGAGTGCCTGGCTCGGGTCAGTGCCGTGCTCGCTGCCAGGGAGCAGCGAGACTCCAGGCCCCCTGCATGTCCTGCACAAACCTCGCCCCTGATTTTTTTGGTAGGCTCCTTTTCTGTCTTGTGAACTCCCTGCCCAATCACCCCCCAGGCCCACTCCCTGGCCTTTGGCCCTCCCCTCCCGGCTCCAGCAGAAAAGCTCCTGCAGGCTTCTAAAGACTTGCTCTTTCCCTAGATTTCTCTCTGGCACTGTTCTCTGCTTAAACTTGCTTGGGCAAACCGCTCGCAGCCTCCAGCCCTCAACCATCTACAGGGGCTGGGCCTGCAAGTGCCAGGCGGTGGAAGCTAGCGCTGGCCTGCTGTCCTCGAACTCTCGGGGAGAATTGGGGTCCCATCCTCGGCTCCAGGGCTCCTGCTGCCACTGACTTCACAGGTGCTACGTCTATGCTGCTGCTCCAGGGCCCTCCCTGCTCTCACACTGTCCTGGCCTCCATGGCCCCCAGGCCCGCTCTGCAGTGAGACCCTCTGCCCCAACCAGCTCACTCGCTGACCCAGTCCTTGGAGCAGAAACACGGTGTTCCCTGGGAGCCGGCCAGCCTGCAACGCCCTGGCCTTGGGCTGTGGGTCAGTGGCTCCCAGTGCTGGCATGAAAACCTTACTGCAGGGGCCTGAGCAGGGGGGCTCTCCCCGGCCGTCAGAGCTGGTCACCTGGGTGGTGCGAGGGAGTTAGGGGGAGCAGTGCAGGGGGCTTGTTGGGGGGGCTCTTCCCTGGCAGTCCATGGTTGAGGGGACCAGTGGGGGGTGCTGGCACTTGGGGGGGGAGCCGGGCGTGAGGGATCCAGTGGGGGGTGGGGGTGCCGTCACGTTGGGGGGAGCTGGGCATGGGGGACCAGTGGGGGGCATTGGTGCTATGTGGAGAGCTGGGTGCGTGATCACGTTTGGAGCAGTGCACGATTTCTGGGTGGGGTATCTCAAGTGGGAGAGGCTGGGAAGTGTGTCCCCCTTTGGTTTTCCGTGGGTCTGAGGGACAAGCTCACCCAGGGGGCCTGGAACAATGTGTACAGTGGGGTGCTGAGAGCCATCGAACCAAACTGTAACGGGACGCACGTCAAGCCAGGTGGTGTGCAGCTCCCAGCCCCCCTTGGTTCCCCCCAAGGGGACAGGAAAGGGGTGGAGAAGGACGGCTCCCATTGGGTCCCTGCTGCATGGGGCAGACCCTGTGGGCAGCCAGGATCCTGCGGCTGGAGGCTTGTGCCAAGCAGGGCTCAGGGACCCAGGCTGCGTGGCCCCCTGCCAGCCCCAGGGTGCTGTGCCGCAGCACGGCCTGTTCTCTTCGGAGAACCCTATCAGCATGGCTGGCACTGCCAGCCCATCACCCGCTCCTCCGGCTCCTCCCTACCCCCCAGCACTGCCCTGCGCCACCTGCCAGACCGTCCCCCCGTCCCCGGCTCCTCCCTACCCCCCTGCACTGCCCTGCGCCACCTGCCAGCCCATCACCCCGTCCCCGGCTCCTCCCTACCCCGCCCAGCACTGCCCTGCGCCACCTGCCAGCCCGTCACCCCCTCCCCCGCTCCTCCCTACCCCGCCCAGCACTGCCCTGCGCCACCTGCCAGCCCGTCACCC